CTTCTCTGGGTCCTTCCCACCTGGGACCCAGTGGAGCCTGCACCGTCCTGTCTACGGCCTTCATCAGGCACCCCGTCAGTGGCACGACACGTTTCGCACCACTCTTACTAAGCTGCAGTTCTTTCCGTCCTCTGCTGACCCTTCTCTCTTTGTTCGCACGGGTCAAACACCGTTCTACATTCTAGTGCACGTAGACGATCTTATCTTTGCTGCTCTCGACAAAGTCGCACTGGCCTCAGTGAAGGCCGAGTTACTTAGGAGACACACCTGTACAGACTTGGGGGAGCTGAGGCGATATCTAGGCTTGGAGATCTCTCTTGACCGTGCCGCTCGCACGATCACACTCTCCCAGTCCCATATGGTGCAGCAGATCCTCCAAAGGTTTAGTCTCCAGTTCTCCTCAGCACAACCCACCCCCCTGCCTGTGGATCACAAGCTCTCTGCTCCTGTTCCAGCTGAGTCGGTCAAGGCTAGTGGTCCATACACAGAGCTGGTGGGGTGCCTCATGTACCTGATGACCTGCACTCAACCAGATCTAGCGTACTCTCTCAGTCTCCTGGCTCACTTTGTCGCGACAGGCAGGCACCGACCAGTCCACTGGTCGGCTGCCAAGAGGATACTGTGGTATCCAGCGAGCACATCAGGACTGGGGCTTGTGCTAGGAGGACGGGAGCGAGTGGTGCTCACTGGACACACAGACGCGTCGTGGGCAGACGACTCGGAGACGCTCAGGTTGACTCAAGGCTACTGCTTTAGTCTTGGTGCCGGTGCAGTCTCGTGGAGGTCCACCGGTCATCGTCTGTAGCTCAGTCCAGCTGTGAGGCAGAGATCTACGCTGGGGCCATGGTTGCTCAGGAGCTCCCCTGGCTGACGTTCTTGCTCACTGACTTAGGTGAGCAGCCTAGGTCTGGCCTGGTCCTGTTTGCTGACACCACGGCCATGATCCTCTTGTGTCAGGAGGCACGACTTGAGGGCAGAGCGAAGCACATCCAGCTGCGGTACTTCTTGCTGCGAGAGTTGCAGCAGCGCGGTCAGGTCCGTGTAGTACAGTTGGCCTCAGAGGCCAACACCGCTGATATCGTCACCAAGGCACTTGCGTCTCGTGACCATCAGCGGTTTTGTACTCAGCTTGGTCTAGCCTCAGTAGCAGCACCTCTATTTGTATCCTGAGTCATACTATACCTGCCTGTACTTGTTGTGTTATTCCTGCTTGTCTTGCTACACTTGCTGACTGGCCTTGTGGCCTCTTGTCTCAGTGGTCAGACTAGTAGTACTGCCCCGAGTTTTTTTTATTACAATCATCAGAGGTCGGACTAGTAGTGCTGCCCTGATGTACTTTTCTTTGTTAGGAACTGCCACTATCTTGGCTAGGGGGTGTGTCAACAAATATAATTGTCTATGCTAGGTACAGTATATTTGTTATAGCCTTAGTTAGGTCAGTTCTTAGAGGGTACATTCCCACCTTCGTAACCCTCAGCCTTCCTCCCTTAGTCTACTTTTCTCTCGAAATTCTAACAGATACCTGTTGGGCTGAGAAAAGCCCTTGGGATCTTTCCAGAGACTAAGTCCCAGCTGTAAAGACTTGAGACTTGGAGTAGTGCAGCGGAAGTTGAGGCAGTTGAACCCTTGTACTAGTATGTGAGAACAAGTGATTAATAAAAAAAGGCAAACATACAGCAATATATAGAAGATAAGAAACAGTTGTAGAGTACAGTTGCAGTAGCGGTTTATCGAGTCGTACAGCGACTCGATTGTCGCTTCGGTTACCATCCGTGCTGTTGTAACGGTCAGTCGCAACCTCCAGTTGCGACCCTTTGAGTCCCAAACCCTTCGTGTTCTTTGTCCGCCCCCTCGTGTAACCTCCGTTGACTCGCGTACCCCTTGCAATCTTCCTCGAGTGTAGTGTTACACTTCAGAAACGCTTAAGTCTTTTGATGTACTTTCAACACTCCCCTTCGTTTCTGGAGTGCTGACTTGTTCAGGTCCGATGACGTTTGTTTGTCCGGTCAGCAACATGCAGTAGTCGAATTTTGCTTTTGCCAATTTCTTCGTCAAATAGTCTGCGGCCATTTCTGTCGTCGGGCAGTAACTGAGTTGAAGTCTCCCCTTCGCGATTTCATCTTTGACGAAGAAGTACCGCAGGGCGATGTGTTTGGTTCGGTTGGCGAAGCCGTCCTTGTTTGCGATTTTGATCGCAGATTGGTTGTCGCAGGAGAGTGAGAAGGCGGGCAGGGTCGTGATCTTCGCTTCCTCGAGTAACTCTCGTAGGTAGAGTCCTTCCTTGGTCGCAGTACAAAGGGCGATGTACTCTGTTTCAGCCGAGGATAGTGCGATTAACTCCTGCTTGCTCGACTGCCAGGAGATAGTTCCGATGGGTTCTAGTCGGTAGATGTAGCCCGTCCTAGATCGTCGATTTTCCCTGTCTCCCGCGTGATCGGCGTCGACGTATCCGAGTAGTTGTACGGACGGTGTTGTCGCTTTGCTGTAGGTAAGTCCGATCGTCGGCGTGGAGACGAAGTAGAGTAGTGCCCGGTTGAGTTCCTCGAGATCTTCCTGTTCCGGTTGCTTCAGATGCGTCGCTAGTTGACTCGCACTATAGGATAGGTCGGGTCGGCAGGTGACTGCTGCGAATAGTAGGCAACCGAGCTTTTGTTGATACTCCTGGATTTGCTTCGCGGGGAGTTTTGCGGAGGCGCTGTTGTTGTTTCCGTAGCGGTAGGGAGTCGGGACCGTAGTCGGCGTCAGTCCGAATTTCTTCGCGACAGTGCCTGCGTACTTTCCAGCGTGTAGGTAGAACGCCGAGTTGTCTTCGACGACATTTAGTCCCAAGTACTGGGTCACTGAGTCGGACACCGTGAGCGTCAGGTCCCTTTTCAGCTCCCCTTCGAACCAGGTGACGATGTCGGTGGTAGAACCGATGTAGAGCAGGTCGTCGACGTAGACTATGAGCAGAATGTAATCTCTTCCCTTCTGCAGTCGGTACATGCCTTGGTCATGTGGTAACTGTAGGAATCCGATGTTTACGAGCCGGCCGTGAAGGTGCTGCTGCCAGAGCCGTGGGGCTTGCTTGATCCCGTAAAGGGATTTTTCCAGCTGGCATACTTTTGAAGGGTCGTCGATGAATCCGTGGGGTTGTTCGACGAAGATTTCGGCGTCCACAGGTGCGTACAAGAAGGCGTTTGCGACGTCGATTTGCCGTAGTGGTAGTTTCTTCGTGGCCGCGACGGCGAGTAGGATGCGCAGGGAGGTGTGACGGGAGACTGGGGCGAAGGTTTCTGTGTAGTCGGTTCCGTATCGTTGGTCGAAGCCTCGTACGACCCATCGCGCTTTAAAACGTTCGATGGAGCCGTCCGCGTTGGTCTTAATGCGGTACACCCATTTCCTCGAGAGAATGTTCCTCCCGTTGGTGTTGGTTGTCGGTACTAACTTCCATGTATTCCGGTCTTGGAGGGCTTTTAACTCTTTTTCCATTGCTTCCTTCCATTCCGCCTTATGTTCCCCCCCCAGAGCCTGCGACAGGGTCGATGGCTCGCGCGGAGAAGGCGGCGGCGGGTGCTGAACGGAGACCCATAGTCCTAGGATCTGCAGTCCCGTGGCTGTGTGTCGAGGGGAATTTTCATTCCCGGGATAAGCTGCTTCATCACCGTCTTCAGGATCGGGTAAGAAGTTTGGCCCGATGCGTTCGGAAATATTCGAGTCGACGGGGTGTGGTGTAGCGTAGCCTTGGTCAGCGAAGTGGTAAAAGGTGTCGAGGTTGTTGCTATCGAGGGGATTATCTTCATCGAGTGGAACAGGTACGGAGCAGTAGGGGAGTGGTCCGGCAGCCTCCGAGGCTCCAGGGACGTCTTCTTCTGCTGCGTCAGCCTCGGCAGCATGGTCAGCGAAGGAGCGAAGGCCCGCGAAGCCGTCGGTGGGGTCGTCTGAGTTGGCAATGTTGTCCAGGTAATGCTGCAGCGTCAGTCGCTCGTAGAAGATAACATCACGTGATGCCACCGTATTTTTGTCTTGTATGTCGAGAATCTTCCACGCGTGAAAATGTTTTGCGATGCCGAGGTGTAGTCCCCACCGAGCTCGTTGAGTGAAGCGTCCTGCTCGAGCTGTGTGGGGTCTGTATTGTACCATGCAGCCGAAAACTCGAAGTAATTTTGTGCTGCCCCTTTTTCCCGTCCACAGCAGGTGTGGTGATGCGTTGTTGGGGAGCGATGACGAGGACAACAGGTTGTGCAGGTGGACTGCATGTGTCATCGCGTCTGGCCACAGTGTGTTGGGCAGTTTCATTCCCAGGAGCAGCTTTCGCATCGTCGTCTGCAAGGTCCGGTTCATGCGTTCTGCGACCCCCTGCTGCTGGTGAGCGTATGACATGAAACTGAAGAATCTCTCCATGAGATTCGGGTCCACACTTGAAGAGGGAGACAGAGTCACCATCTCCGGTGCTCTTCCCGTTGTTTCTTGAGCAGTCCCGGTCTCTGTCTGCAGTCCTGAGGTGTGCAGACCAGAGTTGCCGTGTTGAGTTTCTTGGGCGCTGGGTGAGCCCGTAGAGACTTTCTTGCCCTTGTTGTCCATGTCTTGTAATTAATGGAGTTGTTGAATCAAGTCGAGTTGCTGGTTGTTGATGGAGTGTAGTTGCTGGGAGTTTGGTCTCTGACCAGCTCTCATACCATGTTGGGCTGAGAAAAGCCCTTAGGATCTTTGCAGAGACTAAGTCCAGCTGTAGAGACTTGAGGCTTGGAGTAGTGCAGCGGAAGTTGAGGCAGTTGAACCCTTGTACTAGTATGTGAGAACAAGTGATTAATAAAAAAGGCAAACATACAGCAATATATAGAAGATAAGGACAGTTGTAGAGTACAGTTGCAGTAGCGGTTTATCGAGTCGTACAGCGACTCGATTGTCGCTTCGGTTACCATCCGTGCTGTTGTAACGGTCAGTCGCAACCTCCAGTTGCGACCCTTTGAGTCCCAAACCCTTCGTGTTCTTTGTCCGCCCCCTCGTGTAACCTCCGTTGGACTCGCGTACCGTTTGCAATCTTCCTCGAGTGTAGTGTTACACTTCAGAAACGCTCAAGTCTTTTGATGTACTTTCAACAGGGCCTGCAAAGCAAAGGCCTAGATGGTGCACATAACCACAATATGGTACTAGCGTTTGCGATCCTGCGCGCAGTTATGCTGAGGAACATCGACACACCAGTGTCACCAAGGCGCGCCACCCACTGTCACCACTGTCAGCACTGTCAGCACTGCCACCACTGTCACCACTGTCACCACTGCCACCACTGTCACCACTGTCACCACTGTCACCACTGCCACCACTGTCACCACTGTCACCACTGTCACCACTGTCACCACTGTCACCACTGTCACCACTGTCACCCCACTGTCACCACCACTGTCACCACTGTCACCACTGTCACCAACTGTCACCACTGTCACCCATGTCACCACTGTCACCACTGTCCACTTCACCACTGTCACCACTCTCACCACTGTCACCACTCTCACCACTGTCACCACTGTCACCAAGGCGTGCCATTCATGCCCTGAGTAGAGAGACAGAGGAACAAGAAATAACACCACACAGAATAGAAGGTAGGTTGATTGAACGAAACTTGGTCTCTTCATTGGCCAAGATGGATGGCGAGTGGCAAAAGAACATGCCGAACTAGCACAGGCACATACATATGGTTACACGCCCCGACAATACCTGCACAAACTCCAGAGGCGGCCAGCACACACTCCAGTAGGTGTGACATCACGCCATACCACCACAGCATCCCACCATGCCATGCCGCCATGCCACCATGGCATCATGCCATCATGCCACCACGACATACCACCATGCCATCCCACCATGCCATGCCACCATGACATGCCACCAAGCCATCATGCCATCCCATCACACCATCCCATCACACCATGCATCACACCATGCCATCCGACCATCCCACCAAACCATGCCATCCCATCCCACCACACCATGCCATCCGACCATCCCACCACACCATGCCATCCCATCCCACCACAGCATGCCATCCCACCATCACACCATGCCACCACACCATACCACGTCATCTCACCTGCCCGAGGAAGCTGCGCTTGTCATGCCCCGCCCAACCTCCACTGGCCTGCTGTTCGCCCTCCCTGCCGGCAGCAGCGCAAACCCCAGCCGAGCATGCCGCGATTCCCCCAACCCTGATGCCCCCACCCCACCCGGGCCCACTGCCGACCCCGTCTGCCCCATTCCCAGGCCGCTCCTACGCCCTCCTGGGCGCCCTGCTCCAGGCCTGCATTCTGGGGAAAAGCCGAGCCGCCTAGAGTTGTCTGCCAGAGGTCTAGGGGCGGGGGCTGGTTGAGACGGGGAGGGAAGTGCTGCTGCTGCTGGGGTGAAGGGGATGTGTGGTTCTGTGGCATGCATGCATGTGCGCCTGATGCAAATGGTGCTGTTGCGGTTGCTGCATGTGCAAGAGCAGTTGCTGCTGCTGCTGCTGCTGGAGGTTCTGCTGCTGGTGCTGGTGCTGGTGTTGTTGATGTTGCTGTTGCTGTTGCTGTTGCTGTTGCTGCTGCTGCTGCTTGCTTGCTGCTGCTGCTGCTGCTGCTGCTGCTGCTGCTGCTGCTGCTGCTGCTGCTGCTGGTGGAAGGACATCAAATGAGCAGAGGCCCATCCCCTTGCCCCATGTCCCTAAAACCACTCCCCCCCACCATCCGCTGCGTCTGCTGCTGCTCTCTCAACCCAAAAACCAGCCAAGCTAACACCCGGTAACCGCTCTCCACCACTCCACCCACCACTTCCACCTGACAGAAACCCTGATCCCGCCCTGGTGAACCGAGCCCAGGGGGCAGGCCAGTGAAGGGCACATGCGAGCCCTGCCCCGTGGCGTTTGCACGGTGGGCACATGCGAGAGAGGCCCCGACAGACCAGACCAGGCCGCCAAACCGAAGGCAAGCCCGATCCTTTCCCTGCCATACCTCCCAGATCCAGCCCCACCCTGCCGCCCCCCACCCTGCCAGACGGGACAGCCAGACCAGCCTGTTTCCTCCTGCTGCCTGTGCTGAGAACCCTAGGCCTGAGCCGCCACCCATGCGTGCAGGGTCCAGGGCAGATGAAGGGTCAGCAAAAGGGCGAGACTCCTGGGGGCTGGCCAGCCAGGGAGGGTAGGTTGCTGGATGGGTGCAGGCCTGCCGCGGTCCCTAACCCTAACCCTAACCCTAACCCTGAACTGTCGTCTGGAGCTCCCGAGGTGCTGAAAAGCATTCCCTTCGAAGCAGCGGACGGGCCGTTGGGTGCGCCCAGGAAGGCCCGCAGAGAATCCGATTCCTGCCGTAAGTGGTCGAGGGGGGTCCGGTGGAAGGGGAAGGAGTGTGGGTGCTGTGAGAGAGGATGGTCAAAGGCGGACAGACCAGGGTACAGCCGTGCTGCGTGGAAGCTCCTGGGCCGTTCATAAAGGGCCCATCGCCCAGGGGGGCTCTTATGCCAGCTGAAGGGTGAGGGTCTCCAGAAGAGAGGGGATTGGGCGAGGGCGAGTGCAAGGCCAGGGAGGAGAAATGGAGGGGTGGACCCCCGGAGAAAGGCTGCTGCTGCACGGGCCCTGAGCCCAGACCCAGCTGCTGCTGCTGCTGCTGATACTGTGGTGCTGATGATAGTGCTGCTGCTGCGCCTGGGGCTGCATCAACTGCGGCTCTATATAACTTTTGACAGTGCAAAGGGATGTACCGACTGCTTGCTGTTGCTGCTGCTGCTGCTGCTGCTGGGCCCCCAGAGACAGCCCTTTCAGATATTCACCAAGTGGGAGGACGCATCAGCGTTGTCCATGGCAGGGGCCGGACTCCGGTTGCCAATGCCGCTGCCAACACTGCTTCCCACGCCTAGCCCAATCCCCTCTGCGGGCCTGCATAGGCTAGCAGCGGCTCCCATGAAAAGCGAGCTGAGCACGTTCCTGTCCTGGGAAGAAGCAGCATTGGACACGCGCACCCCTCCCAGCGAGGATGAGCCAGCATCGCGCAGCAGGGCATCCCTCCCCACTGCCATGATCGCTGGATCCACAAACTCCAAGTCAAGCGAGCTAGCCACTTCTGCTTCAGCACCCCCTGCTTCGGGCACTCCACCCAAGCCAGGAAGAGAGAGGAAAGCCCGTTCTGTGGGCCAGCCAAGCCACGCCCCTCCCTGCCATCCACAGGCGAGTCGACTGCATCTGCTGCCTCCCGCTCCCTAATCGGCGGCAAACCATTCCTCGAAGCAAAGACTGAGATGCCTGTTCCTTCGACTGCTGCAGAAGCACCTGGATCCAGCGCTGTACCCATGCTTGCATCTGCTCCCACGCCTGGTTTCACAGCTGCGCCGTTCACCCCTGCACCTGGGTTCACTGTGACGCCTATCCGCATGAGTAGCTCTGCCATGGGCCCCATCTCACTGGCTCCAGCCTCCATGCCTGCTGCTTCCCCACCCGCTTCCCCACCCAAGCTCAAATTCTCGCCCCCTGTTCTCCCTTGATGGGTCAGGGGACGGGGTTGACGTGACGGCCATGTGTTGGGTGGAGTTGGCGAGTGTTGGGTGCTGTGAGATCACTGCAGGGGATGCGCGGCCTGAGGCTGGTGGAGAACATTGTGGGGCACGCAGTCAAAGTTCACACACATGAGTACACAGACAGACAAATGCGGGCATACACACACGAGTGGGAAAGCACCAGTACAGGAGAAGCCAACACACATGAGCACAGGGAAGGCCAGGGAGAGCTACTGGGGGAATGAGCGTGGAAAGCTGGGTGACAGCAGGCAGTGAAATGGCAAGAGTCACAATGGGAGGAGAAGGAGTGCCACTAGTCCTTGATATGAAAACGGAAAGGCCAGTATTGTGGCGAACATATTGAGAACACGCTGGACTCACCTGCTGTAGCAGCTTCTAGGGTTGACTCCGAGCCTGACGACTGCCCAGGCTGCTCTGCTGGCAGCACTGCTGATGCCGGTGCGGGAGAGGTCTTGGCAGGGAGAGGGCCAAAGCCTGGCGGGGGTTGCATGGCGCCGCCTGTGAGTTCAAAGAGGAGCACGACACGGATGTAAAGGAGGTGGGGTTGGGGCAGGAAGCGCAAGAAGTGCAGCAGAGCGGGCAGCGGAGGGCCGAACGGACAGGAGAGAGGAAGGGGGAGATGGACAGAGAGGCGCACCTGGTAGTGCTGGGGACGTGCGGCCAAAGCCAGGAGGAACCGAGTCAGGCCTCTTGGCAAAGCCAGGCGGGGCGCCAGTGTTGACACTGAAGTGGCCCCCGCCCTGAGACTGAAGCTTCGCGAGGAAGTGAGGGTGGAGGGCTGCGAACCCTGAGGCACGTCAGATGCAGCGGCATCGAACGGCTGGGATGAGCTCATGCCAGGGCTAGAACTGTCTGGTGGTGCTTCGGAAGAGGACAACCGGACTGGCCCCACAGAGGCTTCTGGCTTCCACACCTGCTGCTGCTGCTGCTGCTGCTGCTGCTGCAGGGTATCAGAGTCACCCTTGGAACCCACGTCCCTGCTCCCAAAGCTGCTGCCACCGGGCGAGTCATAAGCTGCGTTTCTCTCACTCCCACCACCACTGATAGTACTGGCAGCAGAGGCAGCTCTCGCGCTGCTGGCGCCACTGTCAGCCCACCGCTGCCAAGTCCCAAGCCGAAGCCAAGGGAGCCAAACAGGGACCCGTGAAGCCCATCCCCCTGCCCACTGCCATCACCTGCTCCCCCTGCTGCGCCCTCCGCAGATGAACCTCCACCAGTTTCCTCCTGAGCAAAGCGGAAGCGAGATCTCCGCGAGAGGGACGGGGGATGGCAGGTGCAGGTGCTGGTGCAGGTGCAGGTGCTGGTGCTGGTGCCGGGTGCTGGTGCTGCTTCCACTGCTTCCGGGGTTGCGGCAGCAGCACTATCCTTCCCTTCACCCTCTTCTCCTGATACCACTCTTGCCCCTGCCCCTGCTCCCCCTACTCCAGCCCCTGCTCCTGCCCCTGTTCCTGCCCGTGTTCCTGCCCCTGCTCCTGCTCCTGTTCCTGCCCCTGTTCCTGCCTCTGGTGCTGGCAGGGGGTCCTTGAAGCTCCCTCGCAGCAGCTTAGACAGCGCCCCAGAGGAGCAAAGGCCCCTGTGCCCCACTCGTCCGCGTCCATGTCGAGAATGTCCGCAATCACATGAAACTCGTTCCGCTGCCCCTCCCCATTCGACTCGTTCCGCTGCCCCTCCCCATTCGACTCGTTCCGCTGCCCCTCCCCCTTTGACTCGTTCCGCCCCTTTGACTCGTTCCGCTGCCCTTCCCGCGCCCCTCGCCTCTCGTTGGCGCTGCAGCTTCGACTAGAGCACCGTGTCTTGCCGGCAGTATGCTCCCGTTCATGCCCTTGGGCGCATCTATGGACTTGCCCGCCTGCTCTCCCATGGCAACTGCCCCACCAGCAGAACCACCCACAGAAGCCCGCTTGGCTTGATCCGGCTCCCCCTCAGCAGCACTCTCTGCGCCCTCGCTATCTTCTGGCAGCTGGATAGCCGATGCTGATGCCACCATGTCGCCAGCAATCAGCACTGAGAGCTCATCCTCGTCTGGAAGACACTCCTCCTCTACCCCTCCCTCCTCCTTCAACCCCTCACCCTCGCCTGCCCCTGTTGATGCCTCTGGCTCCGCATCTAGATCCATATTAGCAGACTCACTCCCTGACTCCTGCGTCTCTTCCTGTCTATCTTCCTCCATGGCTGCGCTGATTACATCTGTTTGCAGCTCTTGACTTAGAGTGGAGCTCTGAGTAACCTCGTCTTTCTTCTTGCTCTCCGCCTTTGAACGTTTGGACGAGGCTGCTTCACGCTTCTCCACCCTTTCAGCCCTCCCCTTCGACTTATCCTTATCAGGTTCCTTCGCTGCTGCCCCCTTTGACTTCTTCTTATCTCCCTCCGCCTGCCCTCTATTCTTACCCTTCTTCTCGCCTTCACTACGGCCACCCACTTTCGCCTTTGTCTTCTCTTCTTCCTCCGAACCAGCCCCTCTGCCAATCCCTCTGTCCGGCTGCCCACTCACCTTCCCCGCCCTAGTATCCGCGTCACTCCGCCCCTTCGCCTTATCCCCCTCACAGCCTTCTTTCCCCCTGTCCGATCCCTTCTCTCCTGCACTGCCATCACCGGCTTTCGCTGACCTTTTCAGAGCATCCAGCCGCATGGGATCAAACGCCAGCGCCCTAATCTGCAAAGCTGCCTGCAAACTCGTCTGTAAACTACCCTGCGCACTTGCCTGCGCACCCTCTTTCCTCTCGACCCGCTCCTGACCCACCTCCTGCATCCGCTTCTCCTCCTGCGTCCGCTTCTCCTCCTCGTCCTCCACCCCATGCAGCTCCTCCCAGCTCCGCGAATCGTCCGCCTCAACCATCACTCGCACTACTCCGCTCTCACCCTTCTTCTTCTTGCCTTTCTTCCCGCCACCGCCCTTCCCTGCGCCACTCTCACCACCCTCTGCCTGCTGCGCATGGCCCTTGCCTCCTGCTCTCGGCGCCCCCGTGTTCTCCTTCTCTCCTTCCCGGCCCTCCACGCAGTCTTCCATCGAAACCCGCTTCTTCGATTCCTCGTTTTTGACTGTCTCGCTATTTCTACACGCCTCGTCTTTCGCACCCTTTCTACCTTTCCCTTCCTTCCCACTCTTCTCGCTGCCCCCCTCCTTCGCCCCTTTCCTACTGCCGCTGGCAGCACTAGAGCTCGTGCTGGCATCACCGCACTCCACCCCTTCCATATCCTCAGACCGCGACGCTTTATGAGCATGCATCCCGTTCAAACCCTTCTTCGATCCGCTGCTGCTCGTTGCTGTTGCCCCGCCACCAGCAGCCCGACCTGCCACAGCAGACGCGTAGTCGTGCTCACCTGCTAACCCACCTGACGAACCACCTGATGCGGTACCTGACGCGAGCTGCGCGGGAGTGGGTGATTCCCTGCCTAGCGACGAAGTCTTCGCCTGGGCCGCGTGCCCCAGCACCACCAACCGGGACCTCTGCTTCGACGGCGATTGAGCTTTACCCCGTGCGCTACCCGATGCACCCGAACCACCAGCTGCGGAGCCTAACGAACCGGCCGCACCGGCTGCAGCGACACCAGCTGCTACTCTCTGCTGCGAACCGCCTAAACTAGCTCCAGGTGCTCCTGCTGCTACTGCTGCGGACGACGCTCTTGCAGGCCCCGAGGCGAGGGCTGCCGTTGCTGCTGTTCTGGCGACTGAGGCGGCGGAATTCGACGCTCCCGAGGGCTGGAAACCCACGGTGGTGGACGCTGCGGATCGCACAGGCGCCGCTTGCGACAGCAGGCTGGGCGGCGACTTGCGATGCGCCTGCTTATCCTGCAACGACCCAAACCCTATCCCCGCGCCCGCTGCGCTCTGCGCGGCGTTCACATGTGAGATCACTGGAGGGGAGTGCGCGCTGGCGTGGATTACCCGGCCACTGAGCACCGCTGCGGATGGTTTGAACAATTGTGGGCCGTTGGATGAGGACCATGACGAGGATGTCGTGGGCGTGGATGCAGGGATGGGTTTCGCTGCTGGGACGGATATCGCTGGCGAAACTGTGCTGGTGGTAGCCGGTTTTGACGCGGAAAGGACGACTTTTCCGGCCCTCGAGCCCCTGTGACAGGAGGGAGTGCAAGAAAGATAGCGTGTGAGCGGGAAAACCGGCAGATACTCAGCGAAAGGCCCAAACACGGCGCGAAACCAGCACGCGCAGGTTGTTTCTAAGGGATCATACCACGAGGCGGCTGCGGGGAGCAGGCCTCCAGTCTTGGGCGCCGTTGACGGGCCCAGCGTGAACACCTTGGCTGTCGTCGCCGGGTGGCTCGCTGACGGCACAGCCGAGCTCTGCACACATGCGCAGAGAGACAAGGTTCAGACCAGTGCCAGGCCACTTTAACTGCATGCGCTTTAAGGGGACTTGGGTTCAAAACGAGGTACGAGCCTTGGCAGCCCCAACTGACCTTCTCCAACTGCGTGTCAAGCGACGGCGGCAGCCCGTTGGCGGCACGGCGATTGACAGCATGCGACGGGTCGAAGTACGGAGGGGGTGCTTGCTGCGCGGGGCACACGCGCAAAAGAGACACAACGACGGCGCGTGAGGGGGCATCAAGACCGCAACACATGCTGAACCAAATGCATCATACATCGGAGACTCACCTGATCCCATGCCTCTGCACCATCTCCTCCTTAGTGTAACTGTCTTCTTGCGTCCCAAACTCGTGGAGGTACAAACAATCCGGGTTGTTGCAGATCTGCCACAATGGAAAACCCAACGCAGAGGTGAGTCAACTTGACCCCTTCCACACCACCCCACACCGCTCCAGGCACCTTCACACCACACCAGACCCTCCTGCAGCGTCGCAGCCAGCATATGCCATACCTTACAATAACCCTAATTCAGAGACTAAACCTACCAGATTCTTCAGCCAGGCGTTGCAGTATTTGGTAGTGCCAAAACACGCCCTGCAAAACCATTCCAAAGAAACGATCAGAACAACGTCTGCGACAGTTCCAACAGCCGGCCGGAGACACCAGGGAGGGGAGGAGTTCAACGTATTCACATGGGCAGCGAACGCACCTCAGAGTTCGATTCTCGAAGAGGCATCCGTCAACGGCCTGGATGCAGCGAAGAGCGTCCTCCTCCCTCAGATACGTCACGTACCTGCCCCCACGGAGAACGAGCACACCATACCATACGACGGATTAGCAAACGAGCAAGTACAGTGGAGTGAAGAGACTGACGGTTTCAGTCACGTACACGTTAGCGGAGGGAGGATGGATGGAGCCGCCGAAAGAGGAGTTCGAGCGAGAGACGGCCACTTTGACGACCTTGCCGTACTGGCCGAAGTAGTCACGCCGCTCGAGAGTCTGCGCGGGAGAGCGAGAAAGAAATCAGGGACAACGTCCGCAGCTGACGTTCCAAAAGCTTACACCGACGCGATTCTACGGGCGAACATTGAGCGTATCGAGGAGAGCAGAAAGCAGCCTCTGGTACGACTCAGCACGCTCGTGCTGCGAAAGGACAGCGGAATCCGACGACATAGACGAGGTTCTTCTGAACCACGAGCACGTTTTGAGGCCTAAAAAGAAAAGACGAAGCCTCAGGCCCGGCTGACTGACCTCTTCGTCGGCGACGGAGAGCGGAATCCCGACGACGTAGACGAGGTTCTTCTGAACCACGCGCACGTTGCTCAGATGCCGCCGCCCCTCCGCCGTCGCGTACGCGCTCCTCGGCCGGGATTTCGTCTTGGATCGTTTCTCCGACTCCGTGAAACTGCACCACGAGCCACGAATTGTGAATCATAACGTGTCCGTTGCTGCATCTTTCTAGGAACCTGGCGAGAAAACAATCTCCGCGTGATGCCGATGCGATGAGAGGGAGGGAAGAAGCACGGCGACTTACTCGTCGAGATCGGGACCGTTGGAAGCGACCTTGTCTTTGCTGTAGGGCGACCGGCAGGCTGGACAGCGAGGTTCTAGATGGTCCTTATTGGCCATCTCCATGATGTGGTGCCAGCACCACAGACAAATCTGCGAATCACCATCGCAAGCAACAGATAAGACGGATTAAAATTTCCAGCAAATTAGGTTTCTACTCACGCCTGAAATCCCTCAACTGCTTTGAATAATGGGCAGTTATATGTGCGGAACCTACAGGACCATCCTACAAGCAATCTTAAGCAGACTGAAGAGAGCGGGAAGCACCTGATAGCCGCACTGGCACGGCTGGAACTTCCTGTCTGTCGAATCCATCTCCTCCATACACAAGGGACACGTGTAATCCGTGTCGTCTGAGAAATCCATGGCGAATCTACTCAAATAAAACACTACAAAATTGGGTTCTCTAAGAACTAAAACAACGCAAGCTTGCTCTGGCAAAAAAAATAGGCAGGCTTAGGCGAGGAGATTAAAGACGGAGATTAGGTTTCACGAAGCTAGCAGGTTTGAGTCAAGACTGAACGAAGGGTTTCAGCAGGTTTGAGCAAAGCCCAAGGCAAATCGGGCCTATTGGTGGGCGGTGGATCAGGCAAGGAGGGAGGGGAGGGAAGGAAAGGGGAAGTACAGAATGCCATGCCATGGCGCCGGTCTGGGGAGTGCGTAGCAGCAGGGAGGCGGGTCTGGAGATTCTGGAGAGCGCGGGAGAATTCTGGTCAGAAAGGGAGGTTGGTTGGGAGGACCAGGCTCGGCGCTGGTTTGGCCGCGACAAGTTTGGCTCAGAAGGGATGCCCAGATGTGACCGAGGTTCGGCTCGGCAAATCGTGGAACAGGGGGGTTCTTGGGAACATCAGCTTTCTTGTCATTCGTGCACGGTCGTCGGCACGCCCTAACCATTTTTCGTCAGTCGCTCGCTGCTCGGCGTCGTCCATGCACCACTGTCGAGGTTTTCACGAAAACGCCCACATGCTGGTTACTCGTCGCAAGTTCTCGTGTCGATTTTCCCATTCTGCCCTGAAAACTCCTGACCCCATGGTTCCCCCCATACCCCAACCATGACCCTCCAGCCAGTCAGCCCATTGCCCAATGCCCATTGCCCCCTACCCAACCACGCCAGGTGCATCCATCCCTCACGCATCCTTCCTTCTGCCATCCGTCCGTCCAATCACGGACCAGAAAGGCAACGTTGTGCCACACAGCGGGGTGCCGCGGAACAGTTTTCTTTGTGGCTGGGCGAAGAAGAATGTTACACCAACGTAACGGTTCTTACAATCTAGGCGAGTTCGGCTATATCCTAGATTGTTCTTTCATAGCAGAATCCATCACATCACACCTAGATTTTCTCGTGGTGTTGCTGGTTACTCCCTGCTGTCACGCACATCCCCTCCCTACGCGTTGCACTTCACACTTCCCCCAGCATGACCATCTGCTCATGAAGCTAGCGTGATACGTCGTCCACTTCCGTCGTAACACATTCTGGATAGTATCTTATCATGGCCGCCTAGGTAAAGCGGAACGCCATGCCGTTCCAAAGCAGCGTCGACGGATGGCCCCGTTTGCTGCCTGTGCGGGGGCAACAGGCACGGCGAGCCGCCTCCCGACGTAGTCCGGCGAATCACGTACCACGACAGGTCGTCGCGCCCCAGGGAGGCTTCCAGCGCAGCGGGAGCATTCCGGCTTGCAATCTCTGGAAAGGCGCGGAACGGCGGAGATCGCAGACGAGCGGAGGGGCGGAGCGAGCAGGAGGATGGCGGAGGAAGCGGAAAGGGAGCGGCGAGGGGAGCCGGGGCGGAACACGCCGCGGAGGGGGAGTCGCGCGAGATGCGGTGGCCGCCAATGCGGCCAGATCCGCACTTCGCGGACGTGCGCGGGTGGCTGGGGCCGCTGCTGGGGCCGGTGGCGGAGAGAAGCGGCGCTGCTGGCGCGTGGGTGCACCGCGAATGCGCCGTCTGGAGCCCCGAGGTGTGCCGCTGCCATGCTGCTGCCATGCTGTTGCCATGCTGCTGCCATGCTGCTGCCATGCTGCTGCCATGCTGCTGCCAGAACGAGCAACCAGCTCAAGAACGCGCCTGCACTGTGCGGCGGGGGCCGCTGCCTCTGAGGCTTATTGAAATCCCCCGCACCCACTCCACCCCCCACCACCCTCTCTTCGCCCTCTCTTCAACCCTACTCCTCAGCTGTTCTTCTGTGCCGCCAACCAGCTGAAGAACGTGCCTGCAGCCGTGCGGCGGGTGCGGCTGCAGCGTCTTAAACACCCCTTCCTTCCCACCCCCCTCCCTTTAGGTGTTCTTCTGCGCCGCCAACCAGCTGAAGAACGTGCCTGCAGCCGTGCGGCGGGTGCGGCTGCAGCGTCTTAAACACCCCTTCCTTCCCACCCCCCTCCCTTTAGGTGTTCTTCTGCGCCGCCAACCAGCTGAAGAACGTGCCTGCAGCCGTGCGGCGGGGGCGGCTGCTCAAGTGCAGCCGGTGCGGACGCAGTGGGCGAATATCGGGTGCAGGGAGGAGCGGTGCCCGCACACGTACCACCTGGTGAGTGCACACTGGTTGCTTGACTACACCTTTGAGGCGCCTCGGAAGTCTTCTTCGCCTCATATGTTGAGGCAAGAGAACACCGGGTGGCGGGAGGAGAGGTGTCGGCACACGTACCACGTGGTGAGATGGGATGAGAGGCTATGCTTGGGAAATCACGGTTGGTTCTCCTTGGCTTTACCTTGCTCTTCCTCCCTTTCTAATTTCTTCCTCCCTTTCTAATTTCTTCCTCCCTTGCTCGCTTCCTCCCCCCTTCACACATCCCCTCCGCTTCCCCCTTCCCCCTGTCTCCCCCCCCCCTCCACCAGCCCTGTGCACGCTACGACGACTGTTTCTTCGACCACAATGATTTTCTCATCTCCTGCCCGCTCCACACGCGCTCCCTCATGCTGCGTCGCCACGGCTCCCACCTGCCCGAATTCAACGCCTTTTTCGGGCAGCCCGCGGGCAGGCTGTCCGGGCAGATGGTCGGGCTCTTGGCGGCTGCCCGAGAAGCTGCCAGAGGGACGAGGAGGAGGAGGCGCGGTGGGAGGAGGAGGGGGGGAGTGAGGAGGACGATGAGGATGAGGAGTTTCAGGCCAAGGAGCGCAGGAGGCGAGTCAGGGACCTCGCTAGGGTCCAGCCCGTTCGGCTGGGGGGAGCGGTGACGTGGCGTGCAGGTGCGGGTGCTGCTGCCAGGTCACTGGCCACGGCAGCTGGTGCTGGTTCTGATCCGGTTGCTGGGAGTGGGAGGGGGTCACGGGTTGAACCAGGGGGAGGGTGGGGAGAGGCTGGAGCAGGAGCAGGAGCAGGAGCAGTAGGGGAAGAAGGAAATAGCTCTAGGTTGACGAGTGTTTTTCACACTGACCGTGACTATGCTGAGCGTGATAATGTGAATAGTGAGGCGCGGCCAGATGCACTGGCTGACAACACGAATGATCCAGTGCCAAGGCATGGCGCCCCCAGTGGCAGCGCTGACGTGGCAGGATCTGGTTGGGTGATGGTGCGGTTTGGGGGCCGGACGCAGGAGGGCTAGGAGGAGAGGAGGCAGGAGCGGGGGAAGGTTTGGCGGCTGTGATCGGCCCCGAGACTCCGCTGGAGGCCCTGTTGGCAGGGCGGGGGGAGGGGAGGTTGGTCGAGGGGAGGGGGTTCTGGGGGAGGGGTTTGAGGGGTTGGGTAGGGGATGGGAAAGAGAGGAGATGGGGAGGAAGAGAGGAAGAGAGGGAGCGGAGGGGGCATCACACTCGAAATTTTCGGGTCCAGGAGTGTGCGTGAGGGAGGGGAGTGATGAGGCTGCAATAGGGGGGGTGAGAGAGGGGCGAGTGAAGGGATGTGTGAGGGAGTGAGGAAGGGAGTGAGTGAGGGAGTGAGTGAGGGAGTGAGTGAGGAGTCGGGGTGGGCAGCAGACGGCAGTGATGGGTGTGATGGGGAGGGGGAGATGGCAGCAAAGAGAGACAGGGTTGCAGCAGACTCGGAGATTCCGGAAGGAGAGAGAACAGAGAAACCGGCAGCAACTGCCCGGGGGGATTCTAGGGTCAGGGCTGCTGCAGACTTGGAGATAGTTCCTGGAGGCGAAGGCGAACAATCAGGAGTGACTGCCGGGGGGAACAGTTGGGACGCGAGAGCTAGAGCAACAGGAGCAGCAGCAGAAGGAGCAGCAGCAACAGCAGCAGCCGCTGGGTCAGCAGGACGAGTGAGAGACGCCGTGGAGAGCGGCACCCAGACAGCATCACCTGACGCACTAGATCCTGCAAACGCGACAGAAACCGCCAAGGCGCCACTGTCTACACCAGCAGCACCTGCACCAGCAGAAGCAAAAGCAGCAGCAGCACCAGCAGAAGCAGTAGCAGAAGCAGCAGAAGCAGCAGCAGCAGCAGCAGCAGCAGAAGGAGCACCAGCAGAAGCAGTAGCAGCAGCAGCAGAAGCAGCACCAGCTGCTTCCCTGGCCCCTTCCACCCAGCCCCCCAGCACCCCCCTCCTGTCCCCCCCACCTCCGCCTTCCCTCCCTGGTCCGCCATAGGCGGGCTCCGCCCCGTCATCCTCTCCCTCACAGAGCTCGTCCTGCTGCCCCTGCGCTACCCAGCCCTCTTCCCCTCACTCGGGATCGCACCCCCACGCGGCGTGCTCTTGCACGGGCTGCCGGGCACCGGGAAGACCCTTGTCGTGAGGGCGCTGGCAGGGGCGTGCGCGCGGGGGGAGCGGGAAGTGGCGTTTTTCGCGCGGCACGGGGCGGATTGCCTGGGGAAGTACGTGGGGGACGCGGAGAAGCATCTGCGGCTGCTGTTTGAAGTTGCGAAGCAACGACAGCCGTCGATTATCTTCTTCGATGAGCTGGATGGGCTCGCACCAGCGCGGGGCCCGAACCAGGACCCGACTCACAGCTCGGTGGTGGCCACTCTCCTGGCGTTGCTAGACGGGTTGGATTCGAGGGGGGCGGTTACCGTGATTGCAGCCACCAATAGGATTGATGCGATTGATCCTGCCCTGCGCCGCCCGGGCAGGTTCGACCGTGAAATTTTCTTTCCGCTGCCCGGGGTCAAGGACCGGAAGGCTATTTTGAAAGCGATAACACGAGGGTGGGGGGCAGGGGTGGCACCTTCTGGGAAAGTTCTTGAGGAGTTGGCGGGGAGGAGTGAGGGTTTTGCAGGGGCAGATCTCCGAGCAGTCTGCAACGATGCGCTGATGGCTGCCCTGAGAAAAAATTTTCCCATGGAGACGGCTTTGGCACTCGATGCGCTGCCCGGGGCTGAAGCGTTCGGTTCTGGGCAGCCCCAAATGCCCGCAGCGGGAACACCCTCTTGTCCACGTGGCACAAACTCATTGGTGCAAGCGAAGATGTATCGTCTGCCTATCCCTGAGATCCAGGTGGATGCACAGGATTGGCTGGCAGCGTTGCAGCGCGCACAGGTGCCTTGTGCCCTCCGAACCGCAGCAGCCAGCTTCGGCAAATTAGGTCTGGCCACCGTGCCTCGGTATCTGTTACCAATCCTGGCCCCTGCTTTGGTTCGGCTGGTCCGATCACTGGCTGAGACTGCAGGGGTTGGGGACGTTATGCGAGATGGGATGAACGGTTGGGATGGGTGGAAGGTGGTGGGGAGAGGAGGAGAGAGTAGTGAAGGGGGTGAGGAGTGGATGGTGGGAAGAGCTTTGGAGGTGCTTGGGTGGGTAGAGAGGGGAGGGGTGGAGAAGGGAGGGATGTGGATGGCAAGAGAGGGGACGTAGGATGTGTGGGAGGGGACAAAGGAATTCGCCCGCAGGATGATGGTATCGAGGAGGGGGGAGAGGAAGCAGGGGTGGAGGAGGGGGAGTTGGAGGGGGAGGAAGAAGAAGAGGAAGATGGGGAGGAGGGTGATTTACCATTAGGTTTGTGGGAGTTGGGATCAGGGAGCACGAAGCAGAGGGAGGGGGGCAGTTGGGGCAGCGAGCCGTGGGGGCGAGGGAGTGGGAGCGGGAATCAGCAGCAGGAAGGCAGCGGGAGGGCCAGGAGCAGGGGCAGGGGCGGAGGGTGCTGGTGTGTGGCAGCGGCGACCAGGGCCAGGCGCACGTGGGTCTCATCGCCGCCAAGCTGCTGAGTCGTGGGGCAGGCAGGCATTCACAGAGGCGTGCAGAACGGTGCTGCTGGGGATGGGGCGAGGGGGCAGAGGCAGCAGCGGGGGAGGTGTGGGGGAAGGGGATGCACACGGACTGGTGAGAGGTGGGAAGACGGAGAGAGAAGCAGGTCAGAGGAGGGAGGAGGAACAGGGAGGCAAGAGGGGCGGCGGAGGGAGGAGGCGGTGTGGTGGTGGATGTGCCCGCCATGGTGCTGCTGGGACGTGGGGACATGGCTGCTGGCATGCGCGTCCTCATAGGTTAGTCAGTGCTCCTCCCATGCTTCTCGTACTTGGCTGCCAGGCATGGAGACATGGCTGCCAGGCATGGGGATATAGCTGCAGACTGCCCGCCCCTCGTACTTTCCTTGTCGTACTTTCCTTGTCGTACTGCCCCCATCTGTCCCACATGCTCCCATCCGCCCCCCTGCCCTCATCTGTCCCACATGCTCCCATCCGCCCCCCTGCCCTCATCTGTCCCACATGCTCCCATCCGCCCCCCTGCCCTCATCTGTCCCACATGCTCCCATCCGCCCCCCTGCCCTCATCTGTCCCACATGCTCCCATCCGCCCCCCTGCCCTCATCTTTCCCACATGCTCCCATCCGCCCCCTGCCCTCATCTGTCCCACATGCTCCCATCCGCCCCCCTGCCCTCATCTGTCCCACATGCTCCCATCCGCCCCCCTGCCCTCATCTGTCCCACATGCTCCCATCCGCCCCCCTGCCCCCATCTGCCCCATTTGCCTCTTTTTGTTTTTCAGAGCAAGCTCGGTCCATGCTCCTTGCGTGCTGCTGCTGCCACGTGTCAACACCTGGGTGGTGGAGGGGTGGAGGGACGGGGCAGACAGGATAGGGGATGAGGAGGAGGATAGTGAGGAGGGTAGTGAGGAGGGTAGTGAGGAGGAAGGGGAGGAGGAGGGGGAGGAGGAGGATGAGATGAGGGAGAGTGAGGAAGGAACGAGTGAAGAGGGAGAAGAAGAGGAGGGGGAGGAGCAGGATGGTGGAGGAAGAGGGAGCGGGGGAGGAGGAGGGGTGTCAGGGGAGTGGGCGGTTTTTGAGCAGCTGAGTGCCATGCTGGACTCTCAGCTTGCTTCCTCGGCATCTCTGCTGCTGCCATCCTCATGTGTCGGCGCTGCCTGCATTCATGTTGTGGTGAGTCCAGTTGTGTGTGCCATGCCATGCCATGCCATGCCATGCCATGCCATGCCATGCCATGCCATGCCATGCCATGCCATGCCATGCCCATGCCGTGCCATATTTTCGTGCGCCATGCCCCCCCTATCCTGCCTGCAATCGATCCTGCTCTCTGTGCTGACCCCCCTTCGTCTCTCCCTCCTTCCCTACCCCGTCTCAACCGCTCCCTTGGCTGTTCTCCTTTGTCTCTCAACTCAGGCCACCTCCGAGGTCCCTCTCTCCGCCCTTCCGCCTCGAGTGCAGCGATTCTTCCTGCCCCCTCCTCCTCTCCGCCCTCCCTCCATCCCTCCACCTGCCGCATCTCGCATCCATTCCGGGGTTTCCCACTCCCTTTTACTGGCTGTGAGGGCAATGTTGACGGTCAAGAGCAGGGTGGAGAAGGACAGGAGCAGGGCGAAGGGGAGGGAGATAAGGAGGGGGGCGAGGAGGGAGGTGTGGCAGGGGAGAGGCACGTGCGGGACGTGAGTGGGAGTGGACGAATTGTGTTAAGTCTCCACTCTCTCCCCTCCTGCTGCTTGCAGCAATCTCTAAGGGTAGATGGGCTTGGCTGCACGGGAGGGCGTAGAGGGAAGAGGAATGACGGAGAGGAGGAAGATGGGAAGGAAAGCGGAATGGAGATGGGGGGGCCTGTTCAGTGTGTGAGGGAGGGAGGAGTTGAGGGCGAGGGGGCTGGGGAAGAGGAGAAGGAAGAAGGAGAGGAAGTTCAGTGTGGGGAGGAGGCATGGCAGGAGAAGGGCGATGTGGCAGGCAAATCAGGCGACGAGCTCTCACTGGCTGGGCGGTGGAGGCGTCAGTGGGCATGGCTGCACGGCAACTAGCATGGGAGGTGTGCGAAGCGGTGGGGAGAGGCGAGGGGGGGAGGAAGGGAGCGAAGGGATTTGGGAAGGAAGGGGAAAAGGGGGAGGGCTGGTGAGCAGGAGGGGGAGGGAGTTGGGAAGCGAGGGAGAGTGGAAGGAGGAAGTGCAGATGGGGCGGGTGGTGGAGTGGATGGGAGGGGTGAGATGGAGGCAGTAGGGCGCATCTTCAACCAGATGGGCAGCGGCAGCCGCAGCAGCAGCAGGAGCAGCAGGAGAAGCCGCAGCAGGAGCAGCAGCAGGAAGCTCAACGAGGGAACCATCAGCAGCAGCAGCAGCAGGAAGCACCAACTGTGTGGCGGACCGAGCAGGAGCGGCGGCTGCTGGGAGGGCTGGCCTGGTGCGGGCTGTATCTGCTG